GTCCACTGAGGACTGGGAAAGAGTTCTAGGCAGGTCAATAGGGCATGGAACCTAAGCTCTGGTGACAGATAAGAATTGTGAGTGGATGTTTAACAGATCGAGATTTTCCTAAGGAGTAATGGAAAGGTTGTGATGATAATCCTGGATTCAAAGTGTCTAGTTCAGTTTTCTTCTCCACTTCAACAGGGCTCTGCAGAGCTAATAAAATCCAGAAATTGATTCCGAACATGGACTCTAGTGACAAGTCAGCGAACAGTTACGTGGGGGCCTCTGGGTCACAGCTTTCTGATGCCTTGGCTCAGCTACCAATGGATGGTACAGATGTAAGGTTTGCTGAGTTATGGAAGCACTGGAAGATTGTTGCTTTTCAGGGTGGAACAGCAGCACATTGAGTTTCAGGCATTTCTTTACCATTCCTCCATGGAGGTAAAGGGGAAAAGCTGTTACTGAAATCCTTCCTTCGGGGTGAAGTAACTGAGACCCCCATGGGATTCTGGGGTCTTCTGGGTTTTCATCCATCTACTGACAAAAATGTAGTCACTTTGTGAGACCAATCAGGGAAGCAGCATAGGTGAAAGCACCTTGCTTAGTGTCTGAGACACAGCAGGTGCCCAAGCAATTGAAATTCCTCAGGATTTGTGATAGGAACTGCCCAGGTGCTTCAGGAGCAAGTCTGGGTATTATGAGAATACGAAGGGGAGGCTTAGTCATCACGGAAAATTGTGGTAATCATTGGGAAAGTTCTCAAATATTCCAGTTCTCCTAGGCATATAGAAGGCACTGCTTTATTCTTTTTGAAATTAAGTGTAGCCATGTGGTTAGCCTTGGCCAGTGGAATGTGAAAATGCCATGCACCATCTTGTGTGGAAACTTGTAGAACCAATGCTCTATTTGCCACATTTTTCTTTCTCAGACTTGGTGGTGGTGTCAAGATGGACTTTCCGTTGGCCTGAGTCTCTGAGTGCCTGCAACAAGCAGAGACCCTCTGCTGACCCATTTCAAATATATAGCAGAAGTGATCCACTGAGATTTTGTTGTTGTTTGTTACTACAGAATAATTTAGCTTATCTTATCCAATATAGGAGTTACTAGATAAACTTCCTGATGGGGTATCCAAGACCCAAACTGCCATGTGATCTCCCGATGATCTTAACTCGAACCCTCTAGAGCTTGGAACTCCTACAGCTTCTCATTCCCTGTCTATCTGAGGTTTTCATATGTGACATGTCAACAGTCACTGAACTAACAAGAGAAACAAGAAATGGGGTAGAAAGGGCAATATCATACCCAAAAGATAAGATCAATTGTGCTGGAAGACTCAACAGGAACAGACATCGGGCTTGAAACTGTCAGAGACCTTTGAACCAGAGCAACTCCATCTTGAATAGGGGCTGGGTAAAATAAAGCTGAGACCTACTGGGCTGTATTCCCAGGAGGTTAGGCATTCTAAGTCACAGGAAGAAGCAGGAAGTCAGCATGAGATACAGGTCATGAAGACCTTGTTGATAAAACAGGTTGCAGTAAAGAAGCCAGCCAAATCCCACCAAAAGCAAGATGGTGACAAGAGTGACTGCTGGTCATTCTCCTGCTCATTATGCGAGAATTATAATACATTAGCATGCTAAAAGCTGCTTCTACCAGCACCATGACAGTTTACAAGTGCTATGACAACATCAGGAAGTTAGCCTATATGTTCTGAAAGTGGGAGGAACCCTCAGTTCCGGGAATTGCCCAACCCTTTCCCAGAAAACTCATGAATAATCCACCCCCCACCTTTTTTTTTTTAGCATATCATTAAGAAATAACCACAAAAATGGCTAACCAGCAGCTCATACTGCTGCTCTGTCTATGGAGGAGCCATTATTTTATTCCTTAACTTCCCTGATAAACTTGCTGTGGACTCGCCTAGAATTCTTTCTTGCACAAGAACCAAGAATCCTGTCTTGGGGTCTGGATCTGGCCCCCTTTCCAGTAACAAAACCATGTATGAGAAGTTAAACTAAGAGGAATACAGCCTGGGATGAGTCCTGGGTGAGTCAAGGCGGTCAACAGCTAGGACACAGACACAAGTCCTAAAGTCCTACAGAGTTAGGAAGGTGTGTGCTTCCATGTGGAGTTTACTGGACAAATTGGTATATGCCAGGTAAGGATGCTCCAACCCTCTTCCCCCTCAGAAGAGGAGCCTCTGGAAAGTAGCCGAAAGAAAAAAGAGCAAATAGTACAACTGTAATGCTATGAGATACTTTAATATACATTGTCTAATTTACTCTCTCCCGATTTCTTTTGAGGAAGATCATTAATCATATTCTCCATCTTGGGCTGTTAAGTAAACTGTTCAAGTTCACATAGCTGAGAGCAGCCAAAATTCAAAGCCAAGTCTGTCTGATGCTCAACTTTCAGTTCTTTCCACTCTATCATGCCACAGAAAACCCATCCATGTGCAACCATTTCTTTAACAGTGGTTGGACGCAACTCAATATAATTTCTTCCAATTCATTCAGAGACACAGAATTTTCCCTAACCTAGCTCTACCTAGATAATCCCAACTATTATAACGTGATTATACTGCAAGCATCGTGAGCAGTTCAACATAGCATCTGGTTTCTAACTGCTTTCAAGAGGCAATTGAGTTCAAGAATTGGAGGAGGAAGTAGGAGAGAGAGAACAATCACCCTGCTACTTCCCACTTCTCCTATTTAGCTTAGCATTTGGCAGAGGCATCATCCAGGTTAAATGTATCCCTACATGATGAAAAGGATATGACAAGAAAAGACTTTTATCCTCTGCATAAATAGAACATGCATAACAGCATTGCCCAACAAAAGGTGGCTTCTGATGGATATTTGCATGAGTTTGCCACACTTGTTTTGCATCCAACCGTTAATTATGGTCCTTTCAACTTCACAATTATGGCTAATGGTGGTGAGGATGCAGAGAACAGTAGATTCAGCAGACCTCATTCTGGGAAGAGTGTGAAAGAAACAATGCGAAACTGCACCCACCCGCTGTTTACAACTGAGACAGCTACCCTGGGTACCATTTGGAGGATTTGGAGGAAATCAAGGCTGCCCAGGAAGCCTGGAGCTTGGGAAATGAGACATCGGGGGAAAAAAAAATCTTGCTACTAGGATGGAGAAAAAAGGTCCTTTAGGACTCTTCTGTCTATGGTGAAAATGGTTCAAACCACATCTCTCATTCCACACTGAATGGAAATTCAGACTGTACTGACACCTACTTGGTGCTTTTCATTATTCAAGATCCTTTTCTTATTTAATCCTCAAAAAGACTGTGCAAAGTATATATTACTATTTCAAAGTGAGGAAACAGACTCACAGACAACAAGAAACAGTTCATAGTCTCATTCTTTCGTTAATCCACCGAATGATTATTAGGTGTCTATTATGTGTTAAATATTACACTCAGCATGTAGGATACAGCAGTCAAAAAAACAAAAAAACCCAAACAAACCAACCACAATTCATCACTCTTGGAGCTCTCAGCATGCTGTTGGAGGCATGCAGTACCCAACAACATGTGCAAATAAAAATATATATCTAGTGTAATATAGAAAAATAGTGGGTTAACATATGAGTGAGAGCTGGTGGGTGGTTCTCAGGTAATATGGTTGGACTGTTCTCTGGAGATATGAGATTGAAATTCAGGTCTGAAAAATGAGGAAAAAACAGTTCTGCAAACAATGAATAAAAGAGAGATGTAGGTAAAATGCACCCTGAATTAAGGCCCCAAAGTGAAAACATGTTGGAATGTTTGAGAAATAATGTCTTAGGAAAGGTTCAAGACAGGAGGCTTAGTTAAAATCTAGCAGGCATGTCTGAACCATATGTGAAGAACAGTGATAGGTTGTGGGCAACTGTTTTTGAGGAGAACTTGGAGGGGAAAAGGAGCCTATCAGAGAAAAGGGTGAGTAGGATGAAGGATATCCAGAAATTATGCCATGTGAAAAATAAAAGAAGTAATAGCATGTTAGTTATCAATGAGAAATAACTTGAATGGCCAGAGGAAGATAGTTGGCACTGCTTTATTTTTTCTGAAAGGCTAACACAGGAAAGAAAGTTTTGATTTGTTCAAATCAATACAAGTGGCTACAAGGGGAGAGTCAAGGAGAGAGAATTTGGCTTTATATGGGAAAAAAAGTTTTAATAATTTTACCTGCTCCACAAAGGAATTAACTCCCTTTCACTCCAGCAATTTGCACTGATCAAGCTGAAGCAATATAATGTGTTGCTAAGGATGCTTTATTGGAGATTTTTGTTTTGGCTTCCGGTCTAGACTAGATGACACTTCAAAGTCCATCCTACTCTATGATGCTATAGTTCTATAATATTGCTGTATCCAAAACAAATGGTTACAACATGGTCTAATTCATGAGAGACAGGTGTTGTGAATTAGGCACCAAAGACAGTGTGCCAGGACAAATGGGACTACTCTTGTTATCTGTAAGAAAGCATCCATGGGTAAATGTGAGCTTACTAATTGGAACAAAATTCCCAACGCAAGTGCCTATGAACAACTCATGCTTCATGAAAATGCCTGCAAGAACTCTGAGCACCATGTCTTATAAGGCACGCCACACTTGAACTCTGCACGGTATTCACATGGCTGGATTAAAATACTCCACATTCACAGATCAACAAAGAGTCTACAAAATGTCTTTATCCTCATGCTAATAATAGTAAACATTTAATGACTGACTTCCACATTCCTAATGTGAAACCTAGGGATTCATTATTTGATACATTATTTCACTTATTTATTTTTGTTCTTTCCCCCACTAGAATGAAAACACCATGAGATCAGGGATCTTTGCTTCACTCACTGCTGCATTCTCAGCACTCAGAAAAAAACCTTTTTTGACATATTGCATGTGCTTGACAGATGTTTCCTTAATTAATCCATCATATCTAATTATTTTAGTAGTTTACTGAAAGTCACACAGCTACTAGGGTTTTGTACCTAGGCAGTTTGATAGTAAAGGTTGAATTCATAGCCACTCTGTTAAGCTGACAAACCATCCTTAATATCCGTAGAACAAAGATGTCCAGACCTCAGAATTCTCCTACTCCGCTGTGACTAAAACTTGCAGGTAGAGTAGGGAGCAATAAAATTTGTTCACAGTAAATTATTCCACCTGGCTCACAACCATCCCGCAACAAATGCCCATTACTGCTTTCCTTTCACTTGAGTTTAATATAACTCTATCTCATCCTTTGTCTTTAATCTTTTAGTGATGCAAATATGGGTAATTCTGATTTTTTTTTTTTTTTGACCTAAGCTGTTTTTTTTTTTCTTTCACAATGGAACAAAACAACACTTTCCCCTCCACCCCCATATCAAATCTAGTGCTTTCATCTTCTGGCTTTTTTTTTAGTTCTGATTTTCATGTTTACTTATAGTTTTCTTAATTTTCTCCATTTTTCTTTGTTGACTGTTGTTTCTCAACTTTTTAAGTATAGATTGGAGAGCTAACTTTGTTTAAAAGAACTATACTTTTTAGAGCTGCTTGGAGAGCTAAGCTGGAAAGACGTGGGGGTGCTTATCCCTGCGTGGAAACGCTTGCCAATGCTTTCTCATTTGGACCCAGACTCCGGATCGGGAGCAGTCTTATAGCTGAATCAGCTACCAAGAGAAGTTCTAAAGCAAGAAGAGAAAAGCATTTCAATTTGGGACATTTATTTGCACCTGGAAATGGGGAATGGACTATCAGACCAGACTTCTATGCTGTCCAACCTGCCTTCATTTCAGTCCCTCCACATTGTTATTCTGGGTTTGGACTGTGCTGGAAAGACAACTGTCTTATACAGGCTGCAGTTCAATGAATTTGTAAATACCGTACCTACCAAAGGATCTAACACTGAGAAAATTAAGGTAACCTTGAGAAATTCTAAAACAGTCACGTTTCACTTCTGGGATGTAGGTGGTCAGGAGAAGTTCAGGCCACTGTGGAAGTCATATACCAGATGCACAGATGGCATTGTATTTGTTGTGGACTCTGTTGATGTCGAAAGGATGGAGGAAGCCAAAACTGAACTTCACAAAACAACTAGGATATCAGAAAATCAAGGAGTCCCTGTACTTATAGTTGCTAACAAACAAGACTTGAGGAACTCATTGTCTCTTTCAGAAATTGAGAAATTGTTAGCAATGGGTGAACTGAGCTCATCAACTCCTTGGCATCTGCAGCCTACCTGTGCAATCATAGGAGATGGCCTAAAGGAAGGACTTGAGAAACTACATGATATGATCATTAAAAGAAGAAAAATGTTGCGGCAACAGAAAAAGAAAAGATGAATATCAATACCTATTATATCTGTGTGGAGTAGGTTTTCTCTGGTCTGATTTTGACAAATAGAAGAGTGTCTACAACCTGGTTTGCCTGTCTGCCCTCCTGGATGCTATTAAAGCTTTGTTTTGTTGGACAAAAAAAAAAGAGAACTATACTTTTTAATGTTCTCAGTATCAGAAATAAAACAGTAATTATATATTCCCTCTTGTCTGACATGAGAAAATGAGTAGATTTTTATTTACATTCATCCATCTTCCAACTTTGTCTGTTTTTGTTGACAAAATAGTGAATTATAGATCCAGATAATTAGAAATGTTAATTTTTTACATTATGCATCTTTGCCTTAAATAGTTATGTTTTACATTAACCTTCCATTTTGTAACACATTTAGAGCCATTACTGAGCATTAATGCTATATTTAATTAGTTTTATGCTCACTGTGGGTCTTCTTATTCCACATTTCTCAATTCTTGATTTCTTTATTTTGACTCATTGCTCAGTCAATTGCTCTGTGATTTATTAGGAGCAGGGAACGTGGGAGCCACTGGATACTAAGAATGTCTTTCTGATGTATTTGCACAAGAACAACAACTTGGCTGATAAGGAATTTGTGGATTATAACACTTTCTCCTCAAAAATCCTCCAGGCTTAACATCATTGTCTGCTGCCCTTTATGATATGGAAAAATCTGAGAGGGACCAGGCAGAGATTTGTTAGACTGAGGATGGCTGTTCTGCTTCAATGACCCTTTCACCCAACTCTTTTCAGTAAAATTTAATACTAAAGACAGTCATTTGAAACAGTGTGTAGTTCTTCCTTTGCCAGAAAAATACAGCCTTCTGAGTGCCCAGCTCCCGCTACTCTTCCCCGCTCTGTTCCTGTGAGGTCAGCTGCACCCGCAAGACACGTGACATAAGAACTCATCCAATTCCATTCCTGCCTGCGTTTCGTTACTGGGAATCTTAGTTCCAAAGCAAGTGTACATATGCATGGTGTGGAATAGAAGGCACAGGTAATTAAATGGCCTTGTTCATCTCTGAAGCAGTGTCAAAACTGCTTCTTAGATGAGGCAGTTTCAGAGTGAGATACTTTTTTTTTTTTCTATGGCAAATCCCTGTGTCTTGAAGAGGGAGGTCTCTGATAGGATGTTTGGGGAGCAAACTGTCAGAGGCATTTGAACCTGAGCAACTCCATCTTAAATAGGACCTAGGTAAAATGAGGCTGAGACCTACTAGACTGCATTCCCAGATGTTAAGGCATTCACAGGATGAGCTAGGAAGTCAGTACAAGATACAGGCCATAAAGACCTTGCTGATAAAAACAGCTTGCAGTAAAGAAGCTTGCCAAAACTATAGACAAAAACAGCTGATAAAAACAGTCTGTAGTAAAGAACCCACCAAAACTAAGATGGCCATGAGAGTGACCTCTGGTAGACCTCACTGCGACACTCCCACCACCATCAGGACAGTTTACAAATGCCATGGCAATGTCAGGAAGTTACCCTATATGGTCTAAAAAGGGGAGGCATGAATAATCCACCCCTTGTTTAGCATACCAAGGAATAGCCATAAAAATGGACAACGAGCAGCCCTCAGGGATGCTCTATGAAGTAGTCATTCTTTTGCTCCTTTACTTTCTTAATAAACTTGCTTTCACTTTACTGTATGGACTTCCCCTGAATTCTTTCTCACACGAGATCCAAGAACCCCTCTCTTGGAGTCTGGATCAGGACCCCTTTCCTGTAACAAAACCTCTGTGGTTGGCGCAGGGCCAACCACTCTTATGGTGGGGACATTCCTTCTGATATGCATTTGCTGGTTTCCTAGGTTCTATAGGCATGCTCTATTTTTAGGTTTTTTGAGTACCTTAGTGGGAAGAATAAAGTAAAACTACTTCTTTCCCTTCTCATCATGGAAACTCAACCGCACCTTTTGATATGTGACAAGAGCAGGGAAGGCCACACCTTCTTAGAGGGTTGTGCTGAACTGATACACCGGCCAGCATGGGATGCCGAGAACCAAGAACAAGAGGAGCCCCAGATGCTTCTGCCAATTTTTATGTCTTCCCGCTCAATACATCAGAGTGCTTCATGCAGTGGGAAGACCAGATGGACAGGTGGAAGGCAGTCTGGCAGCTTCTCTTTGTAGTCTTATGCTCTCTGTGAGGAGTGTTGCTTGAACCAGTAATAAATGCAGAACTGAAATACCACAGTGGAATTTAAATGGGTGTGTGGACATTCTAAATGTTAATTAGTTCCTCAATCCAGGTTTCTCACCAAGCACTGACTGCCATTGACAGATTAAACTCTCCATCTTGGCCACCCAGAGCCTGCACAGGCTGTTCCCACACACTTCACCAAATCTTGCTTCTGTCTCAGACTTCCCTTCTCCAGCAAGCTTCTCAGTTCTCCATGTTATACAATGCATAACGAGGCACATGACAGACTCCTTTACATTTCTATAAGCTCTTAGAGGGCACATATCTCATAACCTTAATATGAACTATAGGGTTTAGCATTTGTCAGTGTTCGTTAGATGTTTGTTAAAAGAAATATGACCACATTGAGGCCAGGTGTGGTAACTCACGCCTGTAATCTCAACACTTTGGGAGCCTGAGGTGGGCGGAACATGAGGTCAGGAGATCAAGACCATCCTGGCTAACACGGTAAAACCCTGTCTTACCAAAAATATAAAAAAATTAGCCGGGTGTGGTGGTGGGCACCTATAGTACCAGCTACTCAGAAGGCTGAGGCAGGAGAATGGTGTGAACCCAGGAGGTGGAGCTTCCAGTGAGCCAAGATCGCGCCACTGCACTCCAGTCTGCCAGCCTAGGCAACAGAGTGAGACTCTGTCTCAAAAAAAAAAAAAAAAAAAAGAAAAGAAAAGAAAAGAAAAGAAATATGACCACCTGGATGGAAAATACAAGCTTGTGTAATAAAAGAGGCTAAAGATATTTAGCTTGCAGAAAAGACAATCAAATGGGCACGTTTGTATAGAGAAGAAAAGGGTATTAGAAAAGATCTTATGTAACTGAAAGACTATAAACCAAGAAGGTGGCTGCACTGGTTTTGTAGGATGCTAAGAGCGTGAATCAAGAACAATGGGTAGAAACTTCAATAGGAAATATTTCAGTAAGTACACTAAAAAGCCTCCTTAGAGACACAGCCCACTCCCTACTCCAGAAAACACTAAAGCTACCTCAGAGATAAATGAGTTCTCTGTCATTTGAAGTATTCAAGAATAAGCACTAATGCCAGTTAACTAGTGTTGCAATATGGGTAGAACCATTGTTTTGTGTGTGTTTGGGATTGTTGAATGACCTTTGATATCCTTTCCAGCCCTGTGATTTTCTGATATTATGACTGGCGCCAATCCTTGACCAAAGAAATATTTGACACAAAAATGATTACCTTGTCTTTGGAGAAACACTATTTTCTAATGTGACCAATGGCAATGACAAAGGGGGTATTAATCACTGATCAATTAAACCATGCTTAGTGCATTCCTAGATAACAAATTGACGGATATTATTATTATATATGAAGAAATTAAGGCTCAGAGAGGTCATGTTATTTCCTCAAGTAAAGCACTATCTCTATACTCTAATGCAGGAGTGTGCAAAGGTTTTTTGTAAAAAGCCATATAATAAATATCCTAGGCTTTGTGGGGCATATAACCTGTATTACAACCAACTTTACTGTTAAGCATCAAAACAGCCATGGACAGTATATAAATGAACAGGCATAGCTGTATTTTTTTTTTTTTTTAATTAAAGGCATGAGGTTGGATTTGGCCTAGGGGCCTTAGTTTTTCAGTCTCCGTTTAGAGCTCTGCTGACTTATCACACGAGAATGAGAAAATGCAAACAAGATAAGGAATGGCCTCCATGTGGCCATACTTACTCCATTGGCTTTGCTGAGTGCCTGGAAGTAGATGCTGTAGCTTTTCAGGGGAGAGAGAGGAGGGTTCCAGTAGCCATTGTATGTCTTATTGTCACCCACTGTAAATGGCTGGGTGACAGGCAGGTTGGCAGGCTTCAACTCAGCAGCAAAGTAGTGTAGAGAATCGAGGCTGGAGGCATTCCGATAGCTCACAGGCACCGAAAAACACTCAATAATGTCAGCTGCCCTCCGTGACTTCTGTGGTCGCTCCTCCTTGACAACCAGCTGATAAACACTGGACCGGAAAGAGGGGACACAGATGGATGAGCAACTCTCTGGAAGAATGAGCTTGTTAGCTCTAATGGTGTCAACCCAACTTCTCCTGTATGGAAACACTGCTTCTTTCTACAACAAAACTTTTGTCCTGAGCATCAGATTTTCAAACCTACCACGTTGTAGAACTTTACCTCCACTTAGCTGTCTCAAAACCAGCTCACACTAGACACATCTAAAACTCAACTCAGCCCCAACCCCTACAAACCTGTCTGCTCCTCCTTTTACACGTCTTTTCTTAGTAAATGGTAGCACTATCTGACAAGTGGCCAGAACCTGAATCTAGGGCTCATCCTCTGTTCTTAACTCCTTAATTCTCACTCCTTATCTTAATCAACAGTCTTACAGAAGTCTGTTGATTTGGCTTCTGTGTGTTTGCATCTGCCCTACTTCTGTTTTCTCCTTCCACTGATAATGCCTTAGTTGGGCACTTTCCCACTTCTTACCCAGATTCAACTAGTCTCTTTGCCTCTAATGCCCTTGATTTATTAATCAGTCATCCTAATCATATGGCTTCCTAATCATATAGCTCTTCAAACACTTTCATAGGCCTTCCATTGTACAAATTATACAATCTAAACTCCTCATCTTGGCATTTGAAGCCCTCTGTGCCTGTCTTCTGTCTTCCATTTAGGTGTTCTCATGGTGTTCCCATCTTCTAGCTACTCCAGATCCCATGCTATTGCACAGATATATTTTGGATCTCACCTCATGCATTACTGACTTATGCTTCCTCTACCTGCAGTGCCCTGCATCCTGGCCACCTCTGGTTTCCTCCAAAGGCTGAGCATGTCTTTCACTTCCTCTATGAAACCTGTCCAGATATGTCCAGTCTGGATCAATCACCTCCCTCTTTAGTTCCCCTAGAGCTCACCTAATCTCCACCTGCTTTGTTTTCCAATATCATGAGACGGGACTACTCTTGCACTGGCTAGACTGTGACCTTTTACGAAGTAGGCATTGTGGCTTACTTATCACTGCATCATTCTCCACCCCTGCCCCACACTGCCCAGCAGGATGCCTGCCACCCAACAAGTGATCAATGAATGCTTGTTCAAATGAATTAAATTGGATTGAATTAAAACTGAAAGCAAGCATGAAACCAAATCTGCCTGGATGCAGAAACCCTAATCAGATAAACAGCGATTGCCTTGAGTTCCTGTCTAGTGATCGCATATTGTTCCCTTCAACTTAGGAGGATGTAAGAAGATGCTAGTGTGTGAATAGAGATGACTGATCCTTTATTGAATATCAACTGACACCCAATGTTAGACTCTCTTCGTAAAAGTTATTTTAAAGTTAGTAAGTTGGATAACATTGTTCAATCTCTTTGAATGCCCCACAGTTTACATCTCTCTGGTATAAATGTTCTTCTTTTAGAAGAGCTTTATTGCATGGATCTCTGGGACTCATGATCTAAAACAAAAGATCGATTGCCCATGAGTGCCCACTGGAGACTTCTGTGAATTAATGAGGTGGTTGCAGTAGGGGGCCCCAAACCAATCACTTAAACAGGGCATAGTGAACCAGCACGTGGTTTATGAAAAATGAAACGTGTTGCAGGCTACCATCCTTCAATCAGACCATCCATCTAAAGACATTTGACTAAGGAGTACAACTTGGGAGATGACAGAGACACAGGAATATTTCATTAAGGAAAAAAGGCTATGGAGGACTGCCCTAAGAAAATGTGACACAGTCAATATGGCAAGTTTTCTCTCGAATTTTCTTGAGTATGGGAATTTTCAGGGATGTGAAAAGGAAGGGTTGGGCATATGAGTATATGCCACACTTAGATGAGTGCAGGCAAAATAGCTCAATTACCACGCCTGTTGTACATACACATCTGAGTAAGAACCTGACAATTCAGAGTGCATGTGAGTGACACGTGAGTGGAATGGATGTGGCAATCTCTCAAGGCATGCACACTACATCTGAGGGTGTACCATTTTCAAGTGAGGATCTGTATTACCTGGGCATCTAACTCCACATGAGTGAATATAACATTTAGATGAATGGATGAATGTGGCTAACCTGAGTGTTAGACTTCTAAATAAGTGTGTGTAACATCTGAGAATGTTTTAACAACCCAAAGTGTGTGTGGGTATGTACCATCTATGCATGTTCATAATGCCTGAAGTCAATAAATGTTTAAATTAAATTATGATTTCAGCAATCACTTCCTCAACTCTGGGGTCCTTCTCAATTGTACAATTCCTATGTTTAACAGGACAGCTAAGCTCAAAGCAGTCACTGAAAAATAGCACAAGGACCTAATACCCAAACCTAGAGGTTGCAGGGCAGAAGTGGAGGGGTGTTTGTAACAGAGTTTTCAGGACCTGCAATGCTTTATAAATAACAATATATTCAGGTAAATCTTAGAATCTGGCTTGAATGCTAATAGTAGCTCGACCAGTTGAGAGTCCATTACTCGTGGGACTCTGATCTGTGAGGGAAAGGGCAAATACAAGAGAGTTTCATGAAGCAGACAACCTCTTGGGCTCTCCTGATGAAGCTAACAACAGCACCTAAGAACACTGCATTGGATTTGGGAGCAGGCAACCAATGCAGCCCTCATATCCTCTTGAGCAGATTAGAAGGAACCAACAGCCTCATCCCCAGGACCAGGAGTTGGAAAGAGCTGGGAGTCCCTGCTTTCTTCTGAGGGCCAGCCTATCCCTAATCACCACTTGGATTGATCATATCTACATAACAAGGCCTTTATCTTGGTTTCTCAGATAGACTTCCCATTCTACCTTAAATCCTTCTGTCATCTTTCCCCTCTAAATTGAGACCTCCTGAAACCTTGGGAGCTTCCCTGGGACTGAATCGCCCTCTGAGAATCACTTTCTATTGCCTCTGGCCCTCCTGTGATGGGATGGATCAAGAGGGGCCACATGGCTGGCCTCATTTACTGTCCACGACTAGCAGAAGATTCCATAGTTGTGGCCAAGCAAGAAGACGGGTTCTTACTGGGCTCTGAAAATTCAAATGCTGCCAAGATCTATTAGACAGAGCCATAATATCTCTGTGAGGGTCAGCCTGTATATCCCCATCAGCTCTTTCTCCCCACCAATCTGATTACTGCAGATCCACTTGTCAATTCAACCAAGGTCAACAGTTAGATTACACATGAGGAGCTGAGGCTGAGAGGTCAAGTGATTCATGAGGATCAAACTGCAGCAAAAGTGGAAACCCAGACTTTTCATTCATAGTTGAGTATCCTTTCTTTTTTTTTTCTTTTCTTTCTTTTTGCTATTTTCTTCTCTTCCTACAAACCAATAAAATGTATAAAGGCCTTCCAAGCATTTTTTTCTAATTTGGCATTCCAAACTGCTTAGCTCTACCCCAACCAACTCCATATGAAATTACAAAGAATAGCAAAGGGTATTTTTTTGGTTTAAACTGTGCAGTCAACATATGGTTCACATACGATTGTGATTATTGTGCCAAAATATACCCAGCAACTCCTTTGGGCCCATGCATTCGCAGCCTGTCCATTCAAAAGCAAACCTGCAATGCAGCCAGAAATATTTAAATCATTTTGTTAGATAAATCTGTTTGCCAGTGGATCCAGCCTCTCTCAAAGACCACAGAACTCTGATTGAAGAGGGGGAGAAGAAACAGTGCTCACAAGTTTTATAACCTTCCTTTCCTGACACTTTTTAGGAAAGGGTGGGGGAAAGAAACAAGAAACTGGGTATTATTTTTATTTCTTGTAGTAGCTTCATTCTCATTCTCTTGAGAATACATTTATCTAAGAGCATGTTCTTTTCAGCTTGCTGGTAATGATAAAATCATATCCAAATGCGAATGACCTCCCTTTTGGGGTCATATCTCTAGCTCAAAAACAGTGGTTGCAATAAACTATTCAGAATCATTTTTAAAGAGAGGGGATTTTTTTATAGTAGGAAAAATCCCAATAACATGAGAAAAAAACAACTTAAAACACTCACTGCACAACACATAGCATTTACTCATACACTTTCTCCTCGTGACACCCTCTCTCTTTCTCCTAATGAGAAGATGGGCATTTATGACTTTTTTTTCCATTACTTATCCCAAGGATCTCTTATTGCAAGGATCTAAGAGCTATACTGTGCCCCCAACTCATTTCATTCACTCTAAGGTGATTTCTGTAAGGTCAAGGAGAGTTTGTACTTTCACTTTAAGTATCTCCTGCTGTCCATCCAAGGCAAAAACCCTCAGAACCTCTCTACAGGCTCTGGAAAACCCTGCTGCTGGACCATCTTCCTCCCTCTGGTTCCTAAGCTAATGGTTTAAATGGTGGCTTGAGATTCTTGGACCAGATTCCACTGAGGGGACCCAGGGACCTATCAGAGCATCCTTCCATTAGTAACAGTTCCTGTGGCCCTCTTTCTAGATCTAGAGAAGTCTCTAGCAAGCAGCTGTATCCTTTCAGAAGGTTGGAGTCAGATGACAGATAGAGTAGATGCTTTAGCTCACAGGTAGAGCTTGCCCAACTTCAGAAAGATGCATATTTCAGTCCACTTTCTCCCAGAATGAAGCATGTCTGAGTTCAGGTTCTTCCAGAAACAGACCCCGAGCCAAGGTTTCACTGCAAATGATGTATTGAGGAAGTAGTCCCAGAAGAAACTAGTAAAGGAGCGAGAGAAAATGGGAGGAAGTGAAGCAAGGGTATGATATCAGGCAAAGTCCCAGTCTTAGCCTGATCCCATAGGGAGCTCTGCAACAAAAATTATACCCCCAGAGTTTGTCTCATCTCAAACCAAAGGCTTTTGAACCTCCAGTGCTGGTCAGCGATTGGTTATGGCTGAGTCAGAGAGACATAAACTCTAAGGCACTCCTAACTCTGTGTGAGGAGGGTGGGACAAGGCAGCTCTGGCATCTTAATGGCAACATCCCACAGCAGGTCACACCTGGAAACCATTTACATCAAGGCACATGGAGCTGGGAGATGGGCACATGGCAGAAAAGGGG